AGCTGGACATGAGCCAATGTGCAGCAGGAGCCCAGAAAGCCATTTGAATCCTGGGCTGCATCAAAAGAAGTGCGGCCAGCAGATGGAGAGGGGTGATCCTGCTGCTCTACTCTGCCCTGTTGAGACCTCACCTGGAGTCCTGTGTCCAGCTCTGGAGCCCCCAGCACAAGAAGGACGTGGACCTGTTGGAACATGTCCAGAGGAGAGCCACAAAAATCATTACAGGGCTGGAGCACCTCTCCTATGAGGACAGGCTGAGGGAGTTGGGGTTTTTCAGCCTGGAGAAGAGGAGGCTCCAGGGGGACCTTATAACAACCTTCCAGTACCTGAGAGGGGCCTACAAGAAAGCAGGGGAGGGTCTATTCACAAGGGTTTGTAGTGACAGGACGAGGGGTGATGGCTTTAAGATAGAAAAGGGTAGATTTAGGCTAGATGTAAGGAAAAAGTTCTTCAGTATGAGGACAATAGACCTCTGGAATAGGTCTTATTGCAGGGGGGTTGGACTAGATGACCTTTGGAGGTCCCTTCCAGCCCAGACATTCTATGATTCTATGATAGGTGAGCATTAGGGCTGTACCCGTGTCTTTCCATGGATACTTATATTTAAGTGAAAAGACTGATAAATCTGAAGCAAGCTGGAAGTAACCTGGAAGTAGTACTCACTGTATGGAAAGTTCTCTCCCTGTTCCGTAAATGAAGGGAGAGAATACAAATTGGGCAACTTCACTTTTTGCCTCGCTGTCAGTATCAGCTAGAGCTGCAGATATTACTGTTGGAGAGCAGGGTATTGTGGGATGTAGACCTGGCCCTTGTGGTGTATGGTGTTCAATTTAAGGCTAGTGATTAATTAGGTTATTGCATCCGTAGCTGGAGTTGTGTGCGTAACCAAAATTTATGTTGCTGTGGCAACACAGAGAGACACAACTGTGGTGAATTTCCAAGATCTTTGAAGTAGGAGTTCTCCTAATCCAAAATGGGATTGAGAATTCCCATCAGTACATGAGGAGTGTAACTAAGAGGGGCCCTCATTAATAGACAGAAAATTGCATATCTGACTCTCAAACTGAGTTGAGTAAATCCCTGCTGCTCATCAAAGTGTTAGGCAAAATAGGCAGTTGCAAGAGAGAAAACAAAACAAAAGCCTGTGGCTCAAATTAGTCAAGAGCAATTGATCTGAAGGCAGATAGGAGCAATACAGGATTTGATGATTACTGTGAAAATCACAAGGTGCTTCCAAGAGGGCACTGATGAAGATTTTGGAACATGTTCCAGGTATTGTTGGCCTGGAAATAGCGGTGAGGAGGAACTGAACGTGAGCCAGGTCAAGACTTCATAGTGCTACACACCAGATTAAGATAGGGGTGGTGACATAGCTCATGCTAAGGTAGACAGAAAATGTGACAGTCTTAGGTGGATGAGAGGGGATAACTTGAGGTAGATGAAGAGGGCTGAAAGGGATTCAGAACTGCAGGAACATGTGGAGAGCTTTGGGTAGGCTGTGGTAGAAGCAAGAGTTTTTGTACTGAACACTACCTCCTGTGCTTCAGTGTCAGGACACCCTTGCATTTGGAAGCCAGCAGCTGTTTTGTCTACTTGAGGATGAGGTATTTAATACAGTTATTCAAAACTGCAAGTCATACACTTTCAAAAGCAGCAACAAAAAAGGCTGAACACACTCCTTCCTCTCCCCAAATAATTCTTATTTTTTTTAGATGTTGGAAACTGGTGTTCTTAATTTTTGGTTGTTGACATTTCAAGGTCAGATGGTTGAATCTATATATTACTTCAGCAGCAACAGAACATGTACAAGCAACGTGACTTGCCTTAAGACACTATCCCTGTAAAGTTAATTACCTAAAAGGTTGCAAAATGTTAATGGAAAACTTTTAGTGAGCTGAGTAGCTATGAAAGCAAATATGTATGTATGTGCAATTCCTTTTACTTCCTGGAAACCTGTAATATTTTCATGTAGTTTTAGTGTGCTTTTTTTTTTTTTTTAAAAAAGAAGGAAAGCAATGGGGTAGGGAAGGGGCAATGGACTGTAACCTATTCACTTTTTAACAGTTTTGTTCATATACTACAGTTAGATGTGATGGACTGGTGACCCATTTCTCTGCAAGTTCATCATAAATTACACTACAGCTTTCCTCCAGTTTTCTCACTTCATAGGTTGGGTGTAACAAGGGCCTGTTGTAGTCTCGTCAATGAACCTCGATGACCAAGAAGCAGTGAAAGGGAAGAGAGCCCTGTTCTTCATTTGTTATCCAAACTACTTGTTTGCAGGACACTGATGTTCCTTCAGCTGCATCCACGTTTTGGGAACTTGTCAAGACTTGCTGCAGAGTGACTGAACAGCTGGGTGCCAATTTACTGCATGCTCCCTGCTCTGCAACAAGTCTCTGTGTGAGCCCTTTGACAGGAGCATAAGTACAAGTGAAGAAGTATTGAGTGTAAGGAAAATGTGATCATAATTACCACCTTCTGCTCTTCTTCTCCTCTTTGCTGGTCTTATTGGACAGCTTCCAGGAAACTTAAATGACAACTGGAGCAGATGCTAAAGCAGTGGGATTTCTGGACATCTTGGGTTTTCATTGCCTCCTTTGCAAAAGACATTGCAATTGTCCCGGAAGTTACAATCCAGAAGGTGGATGAACTCATTTTCTACAGTTCATGTGCAACAGAGACACTGTTTGGTACTTTCAAGGCAAAGAATTTGTAATCGTTGCTTTTTTTTCATAAAAAACAAAACAAAACAGAGTTTGGCTTGTGAAGTTACCTAGTTCTAAGTTTCTAATGTGTTCAGTGACATAATACCTGTGTGAAACTAGTAGAGCTGCAGGTACAGTCAGACTCCACAGTTTTCTTGCCTTCTGTAAACATTGAACTGAAGAGGTTTACTGCTAGGACATTTTCCTGCCATGCTGCGAAGTCAAACCTGAAAGTGTTATGGATTTTGACTGGAAAGTAAAATTTACAAGTCTAATTCCATCATGTGACTTTATATCTATAAAATATAAATGATCAACAGGAATGGAAGTTGTAATGAAACAGTAAATTAAATAATTTGAATTTTAGTAGACTATTGTTATTCTAAGATTCTAACCAAATTATTATCTAGACAATGTTTATTTAGTGTATCTAAAAATAAGAACCTCTAATGAAGACTCTTCATGGAAGTCTCTAGCACATCCTGTATAGCAGAAGACTCAGTACCAGTCCTAGTGAATGAGAAAGTTACAGAAAAAACTTCATGGTCTTTTGATTCAGTGGGAAACTAAGCCAAATTTCAGCCTACATTGGAATTCAATAAAGATATTTTAGGAAAAGTATCATATAACATTGTGTCAATGGGAATATTCTTACCAACTTCTAAGTCAACACTCCAAGTTGACTTTTGTGTTTATTTAAAATATTCAAATTAATCTTCAATTCAGACAGCTGCTTATATAGTTGGCATAAACTAGAATTTCTGTGGGATTTGGAATTCAGTATGAATGATTGAAAATGTTCTTTTTTTTTTTTTTTTTTTTCACAAGAGCTGCAAAGATTGAACAGAAAGATTCAAGTGAAAAGACAAAACCACTTGGAAACAATGAACCACATAGTAACCAAACATGAAATATACACCAGAGCAAGAAGCATATCAGCTGACAAAAGAAAATAAATTATTGTTAGTCTTTGGAATTTCTACTTATAAGTAGAAGATCTCTAGGCAGTTGAACAACAAAACAGAGTGTTTTGAGGCTGAGAAGAAAGATAGCTGCAGACATGAAGCATACTTTTTTTTTTTAAAAGGGTGAAATAAGAAAAAAAAGAATGGGCTTTTGACTCCAAGCAATATTTATTTTAAATTACTGCAACTAACCCTTCCAATTTGACAACATAACTTGAAATGGCATTGTGAGAAAAGTTCTGATTTAGTAACTTCTGGCACATGTAATATGTAATGATATGTAATATCATTTCAAGTCTGCATTTCAATACTGTCTGCTTCTGTTGCTCAATCTGTTACAGTTCTTCACTCTTTAAGATGACACTGAAAATGTGCCTACTAGGAACACTATGATAATATGTTGCTTAATTTCTTGGAATAATTTTAGAAACAGGCTTTAATCTCTGCTGAGTACTTGGACAATTAAATAAGTTTTGTTTGAATAATGAGAAGGACTATTTCCTGAACAAACAGGCAGTTTACCTTAGTTTAGAGAATGCCTTAACACTTGGAAATGTAATCTCATCAGCCTCCATCAGATATTAAACCTTGACCTGGTTGGTGCTTGAATGGGGGAAGTCTTAAGGAACATGTAAGATTCTGTATACAGGGATTCAGTATCTATTTACATGAGCTTAGGAGAAATATTAAAAGTCTAAGAAGATACGTCTTTTCAAATGAATCACTAAACTAAAATACTTTGCTAAGAAATTAAGATAGTAGAGTGGGAGCAGGCAAATCATGGTTTTGTTGCTGAAAAATTTCAATCAGCTCGTCAGTTCTAGAGAGTAGATAAACCACAAATAATTTATGCATGATTTAGGGACTTTGGTTTTAGAGTCCAGGCTATATTTCAAGTAACATACTAATAGTTTGCCTACCTGTTCACCTTAGCTACAACTGGAAAGTATTCTCAGCTTCCAGTTCTTACTCATTCTGCACCTCTGCTGAATGCAGGCTCCATTGTGCACCAGAAAAGCTTTTACTACATCAGTAAACTTACTTAAGAATGTGCATATTATTGAATAGATGCATGCAGTTATATAATGCTCCTCAGGCAAGATGATACATTCAAATTTTTTTTGACCCTAATGAAATAAAATCAGATCCTTTGAGTAAAGACGATGGCTGTTAGATAGGTGTAATGATTTTATGAATGTAAACTTAAAAGGTCCTGAATTATGCATGCTTATAAAATGTGAAATCTACTCTACAACAGTCAGTATTTTATTGTGCGTAATCTTTCTTCTTTACATTTTCAGGATGGAACATGAAGCTACCCAGCTAGAAAAGCAGCATGTGCATAGTGTGTATGAAAACACTGCTGCCTACTTTAATGACCTGCAGAGCAAAGCATGGCCTCGTGTTCGAAACTTTCTGCTGGAGCAAAAGCCTGGCAGTCTTGTTGCTGATATAGGTAAGCTATTGTTTGACGTGGCCTGAAAGATTGTTTACAAGCTTCCTTAGTAGCACCTGTTTTTAGAACTTGCTTAAATTTGTTTTAAAGATTGTTTTAAAATTGTTTATAAGCCCATATTAGATGTCACACAGGACTTGCTTTAGTTCTTTAACAGTGTGTCAGGTAGCCAGTAAATATATTTTTTGACTTACTTCTGTTGAGCTAAGCCTTACATCTATCAGTTTACCCAGAGGCTTAGTGTTCTGACATTCCCTTGGAGCCTTTTTTTAAAAAGAGTGTTAATAGCTCAATTATTTAATTTTTCAGTTTCTTTAGATCTCTTGGTTTAACTACTGCTGGTCTGCAATTTATTTTTTTTTCTTCATGTGTTTTAAAACTCCTCATGTCAAGGCTTTATCTTAAGAGAAATCTTCTGACGTGATTGCTATTAAAAAATAAATTAAAAATTAGATTCTCAGAATCTCCCTATGATTCTCAACATGGACATCAAAATCTCATTTTCCTACTATGGCATTGGTTTCCCAAAATTTACACCTTGATTTTCTGTTGCACCTACAGAGTTCTTAGGGGTTTTCAGGTCCTGGTGTACCTACTTTGTTTCTGTTATGACTTTAGTCCTATACAGGATGTCATTGCATACTGGATGCTCCTTTGCACCACTAGATTTTCCTCACTGTTTAGACTAATAAAATGTTCTTACACATCAAAGTGTAATGAAATGTACACAAAAAAATCATGCATCTGTCTTATCCTTCAAGAGAAAAACATTATTTGAAGATGCTGTAGGCTGTAGTCAAAGGATAACGTATAGTTCTCCTTCTGTTGAGCAGTACCCCAAAAATACTTGACTGCAATTATTTTTAATATATCTTTTCCTCTATATGACAGCATCATTTTCACTAATAATCTTAGGAGACATCCTATGGCATGCATTCATTCAACAGTGACCTTAACATGATATTTCTCAGCCAGAGGTTTCTGTCACCTCAATAGAGGTAATTTCAAGCTTAGCTGAAGTTCTTGAGGTTTTTTCTGCAAGTATCATAGTGGTTTAAGATCACCCTGTTACAGTTTCAGCTGAAATAATTTAAATGCATGTGAAGTAGCTGGAGAGAAGGTAGATACTTCGGTTGCCTATAAGAATATTCCCATCAAGGTACATAAGGTACCTCCTTTTATGAGGTTTAATAAGATCTACAGGAATCTGACTATTGTGCTTATTTTTTGTATGTATTTTGGGAGAAAGGTTCCCTAGTGGCACTAAAATTTTCAGTATGAGATCCTCAACTGACTTTCCTTTCCTGTTCAATACCACCTTTTATTAAAATATCATTTTGTCTCATTGCCTTATTGTCAGTAATTCATCAAAATAAATTACAATAGCATGGCCATTGTTAACAGCTTCATGATGGAATCCACCTTCCTGATGAGCCATTTAAAAGTGAATCTCTTGCAAATGTGGATTTTTAGAGTACTGGGAGTGCTGTCACTATTTAGCTTCATTTCAGAGAGGACCCTATACTTCCAAAACCATACTATGATTAAAAAGCACTCCACCAAAAGCTATGCATTAAGCAACTGAATCTTCTGAATTAATGTACATTTGACTAAATGTGTTCCCTCAGCAAACACAGTAACCAATAATACATTATACTAATTTTAAAATTTATGCTAACGTGAAGAGCTTCATGTTTTATTGCTTATGTTCCCTGAGCTGCATCAACAATATGAATCTTTTCCATTTCTCTCAAGTGTTACTTCAAAGAATAGTGTTTGCTTTTTCTTTTAGAAATATGCTCTTTTTTTCACCACTGAAGTGTTATGCTGTTCTCCAGCAGTTCCTGTGCTGCCTCTTTAGATAATGGTGCACATTAGCATCAACGAGAGCAGCAGCGCTGCAAGAAGCAGTGATGTTTCTAAAGATAACTCCGGGCCTTTAAATTGAATTACCAGTACTGCAATGGTTCTCTTTGCCAAGCTGCTACCCCGTTGCTTGGCTGTCAGCTTTCAGAAATTATTTTCACTACGACCCATAATGGCAGTGAATATTTCCTAATCTAATTTTGAAAAGTGCCTGTTATGCATACAGTATTGAAGATTTCAATTTAGTACAGTGTAGTCCTTGAGAAGACATACTTTTAGGCTGAAGACATTTGGGAACAGTTCATTACATCTGCATGCATTATAATGCATTGGCACAAAGACAGGAGGAGGACGTGCCTGTGACGTCATTGGAAATGGGATACCACGCTATATAAAGGCTCAGTATGAAGTAGCATGGTGTTTTTTTTTTTCTCTAAGATACACAGTAGTGGCTGCAGAGGACCCCACCTTCCTTCTCCCACCTGTATGTACCCTTGCACCCCAAAGAAAGAACGCATAACCTGCTGTTACACAGGGCTATGTAATGTGTGTTTTTGTTGGTGATGTTGGTACTGTTACATTGTTAAGGGAATGAACATATAATTTCAAATGAATGCTGCAGCAGTTAGGCTAGTAGGAGCAAGCCATTGTTTTGTTTTCCAGGAAACCTTAGAATTAGGAAAGCCCTCCCGTTATTTTCACTGCTTTAAGAGGGGTAGCAAATGTTTGGAACATACAACTTTTGATCAAGTATTCTTCTCTTTAGGTTGTGGGACTGGAAAGTATCTCAATGTCAACAATCAGGTGTATAATCTTGGCTGTGATTACTGCAGACCATTGGTAGAGATTGCAAGGAAGAAAGATGATGAAGTTCTTGTATGTGACAATCTTAACCTTCCCTTTAGGGACCAGTGCTTCAATGCAGTCATTTCCATTGGAGGTAAGACAACATGCATGCATTCTGGCCCACGGCAAATGGGAGTTGTTGGGGGTCCTTTCCTTCCCATGTGTCTTTATCTCAGTTATATTTGTTTTGAAATAATTCCCTTAGAATCACAGCAGATATTACTGAAATTAAGGTAGTAAATATGAAAAGGGAAAAAAAAAATAGTTCTCTTGCACAGAGGCATTGTTGACCAGGAAAGTATGTGGATCATTTGTTTGTTTATATGTGCTTTTGTTTACCCTGCAGAGAAATTATTTCCTTCCAGCGTGCAGTTTAAACAAGCAGATACTGATATAAACAAGGCTGCTCACAGTTTAAACAGATTAGGTGGTCAAGATAAACTCTTGGTTCCTCCTTAGGATCTGTTTTGAAATAGAAAAGGCATTGAAATGAAAACTCGGTTTCTCTACAGCAGAACTTGAAAGTCATGTTAACTATTATGTGTAATGAATTCAAATTTTGTTTTGAGTAGTCATAAAATAAGAACTTAGAGCCATGCAAGTGCCTGTTACCTGAAATGAGTGAAGTATCTGAGCATCTTAACTCCTCTGACCTCTCTTTTTGAAAACTTTGCTCATAATTTGAGAAATATAAACTTGAAAAGGGTAGATGAGGAATAGTTAAGAGCACCTAGTTACAGTCTACAGTTTTAACTCTACTCTTGCTTGAACTTTCACACTGGTTCACTGTATCTAACAAAAAGACAAAGCATGGTAATTGTTATTGATAGCAATCACCAAACTTGAAACATGATAGAAATGCATTTTTAAATGTATTTTTCGTATATGCAGGTTGTCAGGGTGACTAATATGCAATATATTACTTTGCTTTCACGTTGGCTGGTTAACTGGTGTGCCCTATCTACATCTCAGGTCTTGTAGCATAATTTCAGGGTTATCAGATCAGCTGACTTTGAAGGATAGTGTACCTATCTGATGCTTATACCAATTACAGGCCCAAGAAGATTAAAAGTTCACATGATACTTCTGTACATTTAACTATAATGGATCTTAATCCCTCTTGAATAGAGACACAGTATGCCTGTATCCATCTAATTCTAAAGAAAATGTTTTTTATCCCATTCCAGGGAATAGCAAGTATTTCTGTACATAGTCAAATACTCTTCTTGGCTTTGCTGGTAAAATCTTGTTTATAGGATTTGTGTTTTTGCAGAACCACCAGAATGACTATGTGATTTTAAGCATGAAGAATATTTAACTCATTAAATTAATTGCTTAGATAGAGCTTGCACAGATTCTGTTGGTTGGCACTTTTTTTTTTTCTGGTGAACTCACATGCTTACGCTGTCTCTGGCAGTTTTGATAGTATTTTGCTGGAGGTTCTGTGGTGATGTATGGCTTAACTCTAGTATGAGAGAAAATTACAGTTCCTTTATACCCATCTTGTTCAAGAAATTGAAAGACTGTCTTTTTTTTTTTTTTTTTCTTCTTTTTTCAAAATTTGAGAAAATATTGGCAAGAGTCAGGAGTACCTGGAAACAGTGACCATATGGACAGGGGAACTTTTCTCAGAGTTTGCTATCTTATGTTCTCAGCTGCTTGTGAGGGCCTAGTTAATATCAGCTGCCAAGAATGCTTTTCTTGGCTTGCAGTGCAAAAGCTGCATTCTTTCCCCTTGGTAATGTAATCATTGTTTTGAATAAAGACAGGGTTAGTTGGACACACTTTCCGTAACTTCAATGTTGAAATAACACTATTTCTACAAGTAGAATTGGCTACTGTCAGGCACTGCATATAATCTAATTTTTTTCAAGGTATGGGGATGTTTTACAGCTAAGAACTTATACCGTTATTCTGTGTTGTTAAATGGGTAGATTGAATGTTCTGCATGTAGAAGTGGCTGGCTCCAAGTCCCCTTGAAACAAATTATTCAGTCAATCCTCTTTATGTCATGGATTGACTCAGATCTAGTACTGATGACATATACAGTAACGTGACCAATCTCAGTACCAATTAATGTTTCTGAGAGTTTAGAAAGAAAATAACTGTCTTAGCTATTCTTTGGCTGTTAAAATTGGTTCTTTCAGGTAAATAGGAAAACAAACAGTGTAGAAATCTTGAAATGCTGCTTTGTTTCACATTACAGTGTAGTTTGAAAATATGGAAATTAATTCCTGGAAAGAAAACACAAATATAGTAGTCAATAGTTTTATTTTTAATTTTACTTCTTTGGTTTTAATAACATAACATAATGTAACAAAAAATGATCACTCAGACATGCGATAGGTTGAAATACTTCTCATTTTTTAACTGCAAAACACTCTATTAAGTCAATGCCTTTCTGAAAAATTAAAGCAATAGGAAATATTTCTGTCTAATTTTTTTCACTAACTCTTTTGAAAGTGCACTGATATAAAAATACAAAGTATCTTTTTGCTGGTATTACATTTCACTGTATTTGTTGAGCATTCTGGGGTAAACTTAGGCTGTGGTAGCAATAAATTCAGTGCTGTTGCCAGCTTGCAGTGGCTGATATTTGGGATATGGCAACTCAAATGACTAAATACGTAGAACAGGTTGAAGATGAAAATGCTATGTACTTAGTAATATTCAATACATAATGCCTTTCCTTTTTTGCAGTGATCCATCATTTCTCAACTAAACAAAGAAGAATCAAAGCAATAAAGGAAATGGCAAGGGTATTGATACCTGGAGGCCAGATGATGATTTATGTTTGGGCTATGGAACAAAAGAATCGTCGCTTTGAGAAACAAGACGTGTTTGTTCCTTGGAACAAGGCCTTGTGCTCACGGCATTTTTCAGAGTCGAATCAAGCTGGAGATAAGGGTGAGTTTGTGCATGCTGTAAAAAGCCAAGACATACACCCTGCACAGCTAGTCATCTCTGATTGCAGCTACCAAACCAATCTGCAGCCAGAAACTGATTCAAAGCATTCCCACAATATGGACCATTGCTTATCGAGAGCCTGCTGCATGAAAATTTCTGAAGATGAGAACAGATTTTACAGTGCTCTAGGAAGATCTTTCCGCTCGTGGTTCTTCTCCAGATCCCTTGACGAATCAGCCCTGAGAAAACAAACTGACAAAATGAAGCTTATGAAGAATGAAGAATGGGCAAACAGTACGGTTCCCGTTCAGCACTCGCGACACTGCAGTTTGGATTTAGGGCACCATGGGCCACTGTTAAAAGAACAAAGTTTAGATGATGATGAGGTGTTCATGGAAGGCCTGCCTCTCAAAAGAACACAGTGGTCACCAGCTGCAGATGCACTGAAGGATTTAAGTTTAAATGGAGAACACCAAAATGTAGCTCAGAACAAGTGTGAAGAAGCTTCATTTATGAATAGCCCAGTGGAAGACAGGGACTACAGCTGTACTTGTAATAAAGATGGTACTGGGAAGTCTAATACTCGCAAGTTTTTCAAAAGAACTTCAACAACTGACTCCACTGACTCTGCTTTGGATTCAGCAGTGTCTGTTGGGGACCAAACTGATGCCATGTTGGATACAAAAGCCTTCATGCGCTATTATCATGTTTTTCGGGAAGGGGAGCTGTGCTCTCTGGTAGAAGAGAATGTGCCTGAACTTGAGATACTTTCTTCCTGCTATGACCATGGAAACTGGTGCATTATTGCAGAGAAAAGAGGAACATAGCTGTAAGGAGAACAAAGCAGAATCCAGTGACTGAGGATTTTAAGCTGCTCCTTGTGTTCCCGTGATTGTGCAGTGTGACATGGAAATTGAACCTCATGTAGTTATGTGCCATTCCTTCTTGAGTTATCTCTCTACCTATTTAACTATCTCATGCAAGGTCTATATATAGGGAATGTAAGCAGTAAACAATATTTATGCTTTGTTAAACTTTTATGAAGTTTAAACTGGAGAGTTTTATATTGCTTTTAGCAAATAATTGTTTTTAAATATACTTTTCTATTGAGAAATAAAACCTTTTCATAAGACAAGAACCAGGGTATCTTTTGTGAGAAATATCCTCTCAGTAGGTAGTTCAGACTTCAGTCTTTAAACGCTGAAAATGTGTCACATTACTCCCTGTTCTTGAAGTCCTATAAATAGAGACAGGCACATTTAAAAACATATTTGACTGTATACTGCTAGAGGGCATGCTGCAGAACTGGGAGCAAGCATGTTCCCAGTGGTACTTCGTTTGGAGTAGAGTTATTAATGGGCAAAAACTATGTAGAAAACAAGCTCTGAATACTCTGTCATTGAGGCTTGTATTTGGGAGTAAATGACAGGACACATCTTGAACAGTATTTTGGACTTCCTTTTTTAAAATAATTTAATTTGTTTCTCAGGTGAAGGTTAAATTTTATGTGTTGGCTCTCACAAATACTTTCTTTTATTTTCCTTTGATGTAGGATTGTCATTGGTTATGTGTATATAGAAGTCAGAGAGATTCATGAGAGTATCACTATTATGTAAAAGTTACAAAATATCAAATATTTGATATACATATATCTTTTTGATAAGCCTGGGAAGTCTTCTGCTGACCACTTGCCCAATATAAAAGGAAATTATCATTAACAGGCAGACCAGCAGCCAGACTCCTCCCTCCACTACCAGGTCACACACCAGAGATCCAAAGTGCCAGACAGACAGAGGGAGGGAGGAACAAGTCATAGAATCATAGAATCATT